ACAAAAAAAGACTAATCAGAACACCCTGTTCTTTTAGAGAACACCCCCACTGCCCTGTCGGTCACGTAGCAGCATTCTGCTTGCTGTGTAGGATATTTTTGTGCCTTTTACCGTCAAGTTTACTGTTAATTCGAGTCGGATGGCCATGTGCCGTATCCGAATCCGTATAAACAGGCCTGAGACACTTGATTTTGTTTTCGCTCCGGACATACAAAAATGAGTATTAAGGGTCTGCCTCAAATATATTAAGTGTATAAACTACCAATTGGTACAGGTTAACAATATTCAAAGAACTTCTACTCCTGTTATATGAATATTGCGATGTACAAGTATACAAACATAAAGATGATTACATGCACAAAATAATGGTCCAATGAAAGCATTACAGTACTGTAGGGGATGAATGATTCGTTCAATTGCGCGACTAGTTATCCGGATGCCAAGACTTCATGTTCTCTACTGATTGCTATGCATGCTTGTAGTTTTATTGTACTCGATCAAGTGGAAGAAATGCGAGAAGTATACTTACTAGGACTGACTTGGTATACTGATGGATTCATCGTAGGGGATGAATGATTCGTTCAATTGCGCGACTAGTTATCCGGATGCCAAGACTTCATGTTCTCTACTGATTGCTATGCATGCTTGTAGTTTTATTGTACTCGATCAAGTGGAAGAAATGCGAGAAGTATACTTACTAGGACTGCCTTGGTATACTGATAGATTCATCGTAGGGGATGAATGAGCTATGTAGTGCACGTCGGGAACCTTCTACGTACCAGTAGTCTTACCGGTAGTCGGTGTTGACGCTACATGTGAAGTTTCGTAACCAAGGTACCTCGCCTTTGAGGTCCACTATGCAAAGCTACCGTGATTTTCAAGTAGTCCCGCTTCTATGCACTCCACCAAGTATGCTAGATAGATATTCCTCCGTCCGTTGTTCCATTTCTTGTCTACGTTACCAAGGTATACACAATTCGTAATACCTAGTACGTGGTAATTTCAATCAATAATGTTGGAATGCTGTTAGCCACATTTCTACCAGGTAAACTAGTGCAACATTTCTACCACTAGTGCCCGACACATAATTCTAACACTGCAGTCGTAATTCTTCTTGACAATCATCGCCGCGCCTACCCGTATTGTGGGAAGTGTTTGTAGCACCCGAGTTTGTTGGCAATATTATCTGAGCTTTCTCTGACG